TAACTCTAGTAGCAATGCAATGAATGCATCTGGTGATCATTTGGCTTCTGGACATTATAGAGAAGGAAGCAGGGCCTATAATTCTTCAAGCTCTCACATGATATCTGGTACTGATACAGGGGAGAGTCAATCTGGCGAAACTGAAGATTCAGTCACAAACAGAAACTATGGCACAGAGTCAGTGGAGTCTACGGATAACTCCCTACTTGAATTGGAACAGCGTGTTGAAGAGGCTTGTGCAATGGTGGAAAGAGTGCTTAGGGAGAGAGAAGAAAGAGAAGAGTTTGGTCGGGAAATTGAAAGAAAAGAGCGTGAAATTCGAGCAGAAAGAGCACGAAAGAAGAGAGAAAGAGAAGCAAGGGAGCTAGAGGAAGCCAGAGGATGGCCTCAACAGCAGGAACCAGTTACTGGACAATCTTTATGGCTTTGTGAGCATTACCAACGTCATTGTAGAGTACGTTTCCCTTGCTGTAACAACTTCTATTCATGCCACCGTTGCCATAACAATTCCAAAGAATGTGAGAATGAGGAAGCTAAAGCAAGTCATGCAACTCACCTTAAATGCAGCTATTGTCATCATGAACAAGAGGTGATGAAAGGTTTTTAGTTATGTTGTAAATTACAGTTATAAGAATTGCCATATTTTTTTATTGGGAGTGGTAGAAAACGTATAGGAGGAGATTCATGTCCTTCTTTCCAGTAACTTTTGTTAACTGTTTTGGTGAGTTATTAATTACAATACATTCTCCACTGTTGCAAACTCACTTTGCATGTGTATGCACAATTTTAGTTTCCATTTAAATAAAAATTAAGCAAAACAAACCTCACTGCAAAGTCAGATACCAAAATGTTTTCTCCTTTCCATGGCAACTACACTGGTCACAGGTTGGAGTGCTGTTCTCTCTGATGAATGAGACAATCTATGTTAAGAACTTTGTGATCATAATTCCCACTAACTTAGAATGTGAGACTTACGATTTTCCAAATCATTTCCTTTCAGATTGGTGAAGACAGTGGCAAGTGTCGTAGCTGTGGAGCAAAGATGTCAGCATACTTCTGTGCTATTTGTAAACACTTTACCAGCATTGACAAAAATCCATATCATTGTGAAAAATGTGGAATATGCCGGTAACTGACCTGACAACGTTTTAAGTTAATAAAAAACTTTGCTGTTGTGTTTTTCACAACTTTTTATGTTTTGAAGCCACATGAGCTTTTTTGAGGCTCAAAGTTTCACTTTTCTCGTTAGTCATCTTTTTGGCAACCTACATGTGTAGAATCGTAGAATGGTCACCAGAAAGTAAACACTTAAACAGCTCACATTTTGCCTAAATCTTTATTTTTTCTCAATCCTACCTTGAAGCCAGCTTTACAAATTTGATTTTTCTACCTCTTAAAGCAGGGCATTGGTCTTATTATGTCATGTTTCCTTGTAGCATACATAAAGACAAATCGTTCCACTGTGATGTGTGCAATGTCTGTCTTGACAAACGGCTTCAAGGAAAGCACAAGTGTAGGCCAGACTCTGGCCATGATGAATGCTGTATCTGTTTAGAGGTGAGCTGGTAAACTTCAAAATACTCAACCACTGGTTTCTTAATCATTTTTATTATTATTGTTACTATTATTGATATATTTTTAACAATTTTCCTTTCCACTTATTTTCCCATGAGTAAATTATCCCACTCTGTAAGTGTAACACTGTGTTCTTTCCAAACTGATGTATTGAAAATCACTTTCACACATGCTGTGTTCTGTGACCACTTAAAATTATACCTTCTGACATTTTGTCGTTTTTTTGTGAGAAGAAATATAAATGTAACACTTAAGATCCTGACATACTTTGAACAACTTTTCTAGCCCACTACATGTATATATACTATAAAACTTGTTTATACCTTACTTTTATCCCTTATTTCTGGACTATCTTTTAACACTGATTCAATCATAACTTCAGCATAAGAACTTTTCATTTTTGTTTTACTTATAGGATGCTTTCAGTGGATGTCAGATTTTACCCTGCTCACACAAGGTTCATCGAGAATGTGCAATAGCTATGATACAGAATGGAATGTAAGCACTTAATTCTTCAATATTCCTTCTCCACTTCTTTGCCTTGTTTGTTTATTTGTATGTTGTTGTGCTAGACTACACAGTTTTCACTTCATAGTCATCATTTTTCCAGAGAAAGCAAATAGTAGAACCAAAGTTGAAAACTCTTATAAGTATCTACCTCTGATACACTACTGTGACCAGACTATTTGTTGTCATTGGAAATTCTCAGAACTTCTGAGATACCCTCCTTTTGAGTTACCACTTAAGGTGGGTAACTAGCCTTGCATTTTATTTGTTTAATTAATTTTCCCTCAGAAAGTAGCAATTGGTCCTCTACTTGGTTGTAATAAGGCTTGTCTGGCTTATGGATGCTCTTCTGTGTTCTTGCAAATGACTTGTTAGTTAACTACAAGCAGCCAAAAAAAACTATATGTATGTCAGTGATTAGTAATTGTATGTTTCATATTTTTTTTGTTTTAGTCGCACATGCCCAGTGTGCAGACACCCATTATACAGCCCAGCTCCTGAGTGAAAATTGCTGCATTTTATGATGGTGACAATCAGCTGCATGTCATTCAAAAGAAGAAGCACTTTTAAGGGAGATGAAAAATTTTGGCAATTCTAAAGTTAAAGTTTATAGTTGTACATTGTTTGAGTTAAGGCTATTACTTTGCCATATTGGCAAAATGGATTTCAGTTAGGTTTTGGTAAAATACATGTTCTTTGAATGCTAAATATCTCTGATAAGGGAACAATTTTGTCTGGCTTTGCAAAAAAATTAAGACCATGCTTCTAAAATGGAAAAAAAAGGCACATAATAGTTAAATAATTATCTTATTTATTGAAGTTCTGACTTGTTGCTTGAAATTTATCTTTGCATAGTAAGAAGAAGAATTTATAAGAATCTTGTGGTCACATTATATTTTGTTATCAGTTTTATATAAGTTTAATTAAATATGAATATCATAAATTAAGTTGTTCTGGCTTTTATTTGGAGCGGATTTTTTAAATTGCCATCTACTTCTTCAGTTTGTGTGTGTTTTCTAAAGTCTCCACTCAGATTAGTATCAATAGTTTTGTTTACAAATTTTTTCCATATTTGGAACCGGCCCCAAGTATACCCCCCACACACCCCCTTGCCCCTGCACCCTCATGATTTTATAGTGTCTGTAAAGAAGCTTTTCTCGAAAGTCATAAAGTCCACCCAAACTGCTAGTTCGGAAAGAAAAGGAAAAGAAAAAGAGAAAACCCTACCCTTTAAGTTTTACTGTAATTTTCCCCGTAAATTTCATCGCTGCTCTACAGACAAAGGCTATCTTGTATTTTTACTCTTACGTCATCCTTATTGATCCCAGTCGTCGGCACCAAGCGAAATGGATGGCGGAGAGACGTATACGGGCTCAGAGGAATCGCTTTATACGGGCTTGGAGGACAAAGATACAGGTTGAATTAAAACTGTTCAAATAGGTCTGATTAAACTATAATGCATGTTAACTGTACGTAATTCGTCAGCAGCTTGAGGCATCAAAAGTTCCGACAAGGAGGATAAGGTCCAAGTTGCATGGCACACGGTAAGCGAAGAAGCCACGTTCTTCTTGCTTTTTCGTTCCATATTGTGAGAAAGACATTTGATGGCAAAATGTCGACCAAATATTGTTTCAATCTCGGCATAAAGGATTTTGTTGCCGGAGAAAGAAGGAAGATTGTCTAAACACGGGTTCGATATATTTGTAAGCATCATACCGAAAATTGCAATTGAATGTAATGGACTTTGTTCAGGCGAAAGTGTGATGATCATCTAACTTCGGCGACAAAGTTAATATCTATTATCTGTTAATCCTTACAGATTACGACCTAACTTATTCTCGAGAAACCGTGTGACATTCATTCGTCAATCTTAACCTCGTATTGACATGCTTAAGCTCTCATATATATTTTTTTAAATCCAAGTTTTCGCCGAGTTTTTCTGGACTAAGCGCTAGTAGCTTAAAGACATCTGAGGGAAGAAGAAAGCTATCCAATTAACGTACTGAAAGTTAATTTACCTGCTCGAAAAAGGACCTCTGTTGTCATTATTCGTGA